AGGCGCACTTTTCAATTTTCAAGCAAACCGCACAGCAGCATCGCTGTACTTCGGGGAACAAAACTCATGTCACACTATACTCTCAAGAAATATGCACCATTGTGAAGGGTCCATTAGTCTCGAAATTTGGCATGTTTGGGGTAGTCGATTTTAGAAATCTCCGCTCTTTTACGCGTGAAATTAGGGTAGTTCAATTTATATGTAAGAGTGGCTGACCACCGCGTTTTCAGAACATGCCATCTCATATTCTTAACTTCAAACCACGGAAAAAATACAGCAGCTGTGCATATGAGTCCTAATATGAACAGTATTTGCGTCCAACTTGGTGTTCGCAAGATCTCTCGGGACGGAGATCGTAATTTCGGGTACTTATTTTCTGAATTTCTGCGTCAAAGCTCCATGTGTGTCGAATGCTTTACAGTTGATCAAGTGCTATCTTGCAGAATAATTTACTTTTTCGAATCTGCTCTTGCTAGTTTGAAGAGAGAGCATCAAATCAATCTTCGGATAACCTCATTAAATTGACAAAACTCAAGAATGAAGATAAGATGAAAAAATAGGACTTGTACAGTACTCTGACAGGCTTATTTTCAAAAATGCTCCCACAAAATCCAAAAGGTTGGCATGGGGGGCTCATTCAAGCTCATTGCTATCCTTTTAAAAAAATCTGAAAGATAAGGTCACAGGTGTGTATACATATAGTTCCTTGCTTACGTTCTTTTTTTGTAACTTTCTGAATCAGCTGACTATAGCTGAAAATAACAGAGATCTAATTTTAAAAAGAGGTTCTTATTAATTGATTATTTGGCTCACCCTCCCATTATCATTGCAGTCGTGATATATCCGTAATTCTGGATCGATTGGCGTGATTTCGGAAGCGAAACCGCTTAAACTGAATAATCCGTCTGCTTTAGTATAAGTGTTATCTAGCACATCATCAGGATCACCTATAAGAGCGATTATTCCTTGTATAAATTTATTAATTATTTGGTTGAAGAAAGACGTGTTGCTTACCTTGATCCTCATCGTATAATTTCACATGGACATTTGCTGCTGGTTGGTCACCACACATCAACT